TTGGCTTTCCTGTGGGTTGATTGTTCGCTGCGTGCCGCCCCTCATTTTTTATCCACATCTCAGCATACACATGAGCAGGGAAGGAGGTTATGTCAGGCCCATTGATTGAAAGAAACAGGAGAGCATTCAATGTGCATATTTGCATTCTATTCCTTTCGTCTGTAAGTGCGCGGTTCATTGCGCTGAATCCGCGCTCGCATTCTGCAGTTGACACCGGCAACGTAGAGACAGCGGTGAGGATGTACTGCATGCGTGCACCTGTCAAATAATAAAAATAAAATGAATGTAAATTTGACGTAGAGGAGTGAGTTTCTTCATAAAAGTTGTTACTGCTTAGAATAGACAGTTGCTTTACCTGTGATCCCATGGCATTTGAGCTCGTGGAATTCTTTTAAGAGGATGGCATTGCTTTCTCCGATGTCGACAGCAAGTTTTTTTTGGATCGCGAGCAGCTTCTCGTCTCCATAGAGAATACGCTCATCCTCGTCAGGTGGCCAATTGGACGGGTTCAGAGCGGCAGAGGCAGAAATAATGCCATTGTCATCAAGCCTGCGCTGAATGTTCTCTGCGAGTGACGTATAAAAACCACTGCGAAAGACCTCTGCCTTTCTTTTATCTCTGTCGCTTGGTTGAGACACATTGACTCCTTTGAACGTTTCTGAAGCCTCGTATTCCCCATGTAGGCGTTTTGCGCTTGTGCCATCCACTTGTCTCATGGCTCCAAGCGCTCTCACAGCAACGTCCACTTCAGTGTTGGCAGTGACTGCTGTTGCGTCTCTCCTCTGGAGAAAGAGAGATAAGGCCTGCAGGGTTTCCAGTGCGTCTTTCACGAATGCCATCTCTTCCAAAAAAAGCCACTGGGTCATTTTCTTATGAATCCCGCTGCATTTTGCCCTCTCTGAAGACGGTCTGGAGCCGTCTTCCGCCAGTGTCCCAAACATCTTAACGAGAGCAGGATAGCTTTCCCAGAGAGCTGTAACGGATGTGCAGGAAGATGACAGCCATCGCACGTCAAACACCCGTCCTATTCTGCGTGCTTGTATTCCCAAATTGGAAGCGGTGAGCTCAAGTTCACGCATGTGTTTTGGGCTCTGGCTGAAATATGCATAGAGGGAGTCAATAAATATTTGAAAATGACTCGCGTCTGTACATTGTTTTACTGCGTCATGGACAGCAAGCTCCAATTTGTGGCTCATGCAATGAATCACGGTCAGGTTGGGATTTATCTTCTCCCGCAGTAGTGTTGCTGCTCCTCTGTATTTGCCCATCATGGCAGCAGCCCCGTCAGTGGCAAATCCAATCAGTCTGGTGCGCAACATGTCTTTTTGGAGGCCGAGGTTCTCGAGGGTCTGAAGAACAGTGTCACAAATAGCTGCTCCAGTACAGGCCTGAAGTTCAACCAGTTGCAAAAAGAAGTTGCAAATGTCATCTTCAAAGGGGATCCGAATGTATATGATGAGGCAGGTTTTATTTGACGCAGTTGTACTTTCATCAATGAGAATGCTAAATTTATGGGTGGATTTTTTAATGAAGTCTGACAACTTGCCTGTCATTTTGTCTGCAATAAATATGAGCATATTGCGACAGGTCTTATCAGAATGCAGCATTTGCCCCAGGTCAACACCATTAAGCTTTTGGAGTTCCACCAGTTGTGGTTGAATCTTGAATGACAGGTCGTTTTTACATATCATATATGCAGTGCGCATGCAGAATTCCGTTGTTTTTAATTTTTTCTCGTTGCATTTCCTCCATAATGCCATATTATTGTCCACACCCTTTTCAATGGCCATTTCACCTCTTTTCTGAATAATTTCTACACATTTTACATGTGACTGACACTTTGCGTGTTTGCTGATTTTGTCATGGAGTTTTTTAGCAGACTTTGTTTTTACTCCTTTAACAAATGCGGGGTCAATGTGGAGTCTTTCTTTAGTGTGAGGACCCAACTGTCCAATGTCTGAGCAACATTTACATTGCACTGCCCTGTCTGCGTTAAGCGTAAGCCACTTTCTTTCTATTCTCCATCTGTCAAAACGTCCTTGGTCAATGCAGCCGCCTACCAGAGCATCGGGAAGGGAGCTAGCTTGGAGTTGGAAAGCATCTTCATCTGTGTCATTTCCAGTTGGCGAAACTGGATTATTTTTCTCCACACTATTGTGTGATGCGTCTTGTGTGTCAAGATCACTTCGCGATTTTTTGGATCCTGCAAAAAAAGACGATATGCTGCTCTGAACACGCTTCATTTTGTAAACCGTTATGCTAGGCTATTACCCTGAAATGTAACTATTTATTGCGTGATGACGTAACTTAAAAAATAGCGCGATTACGTCATTATTTATTTATCATGTATTGTGTCAGTAGGGCCCTGACGATTGACAGATAGGCCCGGACTCTGCATTTGACTCGCTGAGCGGAGCTCATGGCGTCTTGTCTTAACAGCTCTGGCGGGGATGGATCTGCCTTGTAACCAGGACTATCTATAGCAGAACTTTGCAAACAATCGTGGCATTGTGGATTATGTTATATATATATATATATTTTTTTTAGGAATGCCTGTGTGTTTTGGGCTGAATATAAGCGCGCACAGCCCCGTTCAATGCGTAATGATCCAGCCGATAGCCTACTCCGAGGCAGATAATTATATATGAGACGCATAGGCCTATGTTACGTGTTCCTCTGTATAAAACTATACTGTATTTTGGATAGCATTCAGCGAGGAGCAGCGAGGGAGACAGGAGAGACTCCCCAGACCCTCACTCTCTGCAGCAGACCCCGTGCGCAGCAAAGCCGCTAAAGCAGCTCTCACCCGCGTCTCATGTAAAATGAAATAAATTGGCCAGCAGGTGCACGGACCTTGAACACACAGCCAATTTTATAATTCTATCCCCCCCTACGTTTAATACAATAATACAGCAGAAGTAGGGATAGGGATAAAAGAAACAGAGACGGGGACAAGAAAACCAGAAGGGGGGAAAATCCCCCCCATCCCCCCCAGCAAATCGCACCCTGGGTATTGGGACTGGGCCGTAGACTTTCTATTCTCTTGACGCTTGGCAACTGCTCTTACAGACACAAGATGGCCTCCTGTGTGGTTGATGGAATCAGAATCAGAATCAGAATCATTTTTATTGCCAACGTAAGTAACAGGAGGTCACAGACTTGGAAATTGCTTTGGCTCAGTGCAACAGTCGAAAAGAGATAATAAAAATAAGAATAAAAAACACTTCTAAAGAATAAATTTAAATTTAAAATAGAGTTACAGTTACTATTTACAATATACAAGTGCACATGGTGCACACAATGTAAGGTGACAGCAGTACAGTGAAGTAAAGTGACGTATGATGGGCAGTAAGGTGACTTTCTAAAGGGCGGGGGGACAGGTTAAGAAGTGTTCAAGAGTCCAACAGCAAAGGGGAAGAAACTGTTCTTGTGGCGGGAGGTTCTAGTCCTGATGGACCGCAGCCTCCTGCCTGAGGGGAGTGGTTGGAATAGTCCATGTGCAGGGTGAGAGGGGTCGGCTGTGATACGACCAGCCCGGCCTCGAGCTCGGGCGACGTACAGGTCCTGCAGCGATGGAAGGCTGCGGCCGATCACTTCCTCTGCAGAGCGCACAATGCGCTGTAGTCTCTGTTTGTCCCTGACTGTGGCTCCAGCGAACCACACGGTGATGGAGGAGGTGAGGATGGACTCGATGATGGCCGTGTAGAACTGCACCAACATCTGTGCAGGCAGCTTGGCTTTCCTGAGCTGCCGCAGGAAGTACATCCTCTGCTGGGCCTTCTTGATGAGGGAGCTGATGGTCGGCTCCCACTTGAGGTCCTGGGTGATGGTGGTGCCCAGGAAACGGAAGGACTCCACAGAGGTGATGGGGGAGTCCATCACGGAGGGTGGGGGCGGGGGGACAGTGCTCTTCCTGAAGTCCACAATCATCTCCACTGTCTTCTGGGCGTTCAGCTCCAGGTTGTTACCACTGCACCAGGACACCAGCCGGTCCACCTCCCTCCTGTAGGCGGACTCATCGTTGTTGGAGATGAGTCCAATGAGGGTGGTGTCGTCCGCGAACTTGATCAGCTTCACGGAGTCGTGGCTGGAGGTGCAGTGGTTGGTGTACAGGGAGAAGAGCAGGGGAGAAAGAACACAGCCCTGTGGGGCTCCTGTATTTATAATCCGAGAGTCCGAGACATTCTTCCCCAGACGCACTCGCTGCTTCCTGTCCGTCAGGAAGTCAGTGATCCACCTGCAGGTGGAATCGGGCACGTTGAGCTGGGAGAGCTTGTCCTGGAGCAGGGATGGCAGGATTGTGTTGAAGGCAGAGCTGAAGTCCACGAACAGGACCCTGGCGTAGGTCCCCGGGGAGTCCAGGTGCTGTAGGATGTGGTGGAGGGCCAGGTTAATGGCGTCGTCTACAGATCTGTTGGCTCTGTAGGCGAACTGCAGGGGGTCCAGGAGGGGGGAGGTGAGGGACTTGAGATGGGAGAGAACCAGGCGTTCAAATGACTTCATGACGACAGACGTAAGTGCTACAGGTCTGTAGTCATTGAGTCCTGTGATCCTGGGCTTCTTCGGGACGGGGACAATGATGGAGGATTTGAAGCAGGCCGGGACATGGCAGGACTGCAGAGAGGAGTTGAAAATGTCCGTGAACACAGGAGTAAGCTCACTGGCGCAGTGTCTCAGAGTGGCCGGAGACACGTGGTCCGGGCCAGGAGGGGGTGAGGACAGGGGTGATGTGGTTGATGGAGGGGGTGAGGACAGGGGGGTGTGGTTGATGGAAGGGGGGTGAGGACAGGGGGGATGTGGTTGATGGAGGGGGTGAGGACAGGGGTGATGTGGTTGATGGAGGGGGTGAGGACAGGGGTGATGTGGTTGATGGAAGGGGGGTGAGGACAGGGGTGATGTGGTTGATGGAGGGGGTGAGGACAGGGGTGATGTGGTTGATGGAGGGGGTGAGGACAGGGGGGTGTGGTTGATGGAGGGGGGGAGGACAGGTGTGATGTGGTTTATGGAGGGGGTGAGGACAGGGGTGATGTGGTTGATGGAGGGGGGTGAGGACAGGGGGGTGTGGTTGATGGAGGGGGGGTGAGGACAGGTGTGATGTGGTTGATGGAGGGGGTGAGGACAGGGGTGATGTGGTTGATGGAGGGGGGTGAGGACAGGGGGGTGTGGTTGATGGAGGGGGGGTGAGGACAGGTGTGATGTGGTTTATGGAGGGGGGTGAGGACAGGGGTGATGTGGTTGATGGAGGGGGGGTGAGGACAGGGGGGTGTGGTTGATGGAGGGGGGGTGAGGACAGGTGTGATGTGGTTGATGGAGGGGGTGAGGACAGGGTGATGTGGTTGATGGAGGGGGTGAGGACAGGGTGATGTGGTTGATGGAGGGGGTGAGGACAGGGGTGATGTGGTTGATGGAGGGGGTGAGGACAGGGTGATGTGGTTGATGGAGGGGGTGAGGACAGGGTGATGTGGTTGATGGAGGGGGTGAGGACAGGGTGATGTGGTTGATGGAGGGGGTGAGGACAGGGGTGATGTGGTTGATGGAGGGGGTGAGGACAGGGTGATGTGGTTGATGGAGGGGGTGAGGACAGGGGTGATGTGGTTGATGGAGGGGGTGAGGACAGGTGTGATGTGGTTTATGGAGGGGGTGAGGACAGGGGTGATGTGGTTGATGGAGCGGGTGAGGACAGGGGTGATGTGGTTGATGGAGGGGGTGAGGACAGGGGTGGTGTGGTTGATGGAGGGGGTGAGGACAGGGGGGTGTGGTTGATGGAGGGGGGGTGTGGTTGATGGAGGGGGTGAGGACAGGGGGGTGTGTGATGAGACGGGCAGCAGTGTTTTGGACCAGTTGGAGTTTATGGAGGGTTTTTTGAGGGAGACCGAACAGGAGGGAGTTACAATAGTCAAGGCGGGAGGTGACGAGGCTGTGTATGAGTATAGCGGTTCAGTCCTGGATTTAGAGCCAAGTCAGCCATCAGCTGATGTTTTTTCCTCAGAGTAAGGGCTCCTGCAGATCTGGATTCTTTTGAACCAAAATGTCCCGATCTTTGGCTTTTTTTTAAAATGTAGGCTCCTTTTGACTTTCCCCCCTGGTCTAGATGTTCAGGAGGCCTGTAGTTCAAAGAGAAAAACAGCTGCTGACCGCTCACCTGGAAGGGGTGCTGAAGGAGGACAAAAGCAGGTCTAAATCCGGACTAGAGCATGACTAAAGCAGGACTAAAGAAGGACTACAGCCTGTCAAGCAGGTCTATAGAGGACCAAATCAGGTGTAAAGCAGGTCTAAAGCAGGTCTAAAGCAGGTCTAAAGCAGGTCTAAAGCAGGACTAAAGCAGGACTAAAGCAGGACTAAAGCGTTACTATGTAGGTGTGAAAATACTGTACATTTATACAAACGGACTAAAATATTCGTAGACGTATTAACACCTATTTCATAGTAGAAACGTAGTAGTAAGTAAGTAAGCTTTATTTATATAGCGCCTTTCACAGACCAGAGTCAAAGCGGTTTACAATTGTGGACATTAGTCTCTGACTCCACACAGAGATGGGAGGGGCCAGTACAGGAGGCACAGACCTATTGTACATGTTTTTAGTGGTAGGGGAAACCGAGGACGCAGACAAGGGGAGAAAATGCAAACTCCACTCAGAAGGGCCCTGTTAGGACCAGGATTCAAACCCAGGACCTTCTTGTTGAGAAGCAAGAGTGCTATCCACCACAGCCACCATGCCACCCGATAAAAACAAGAGACTGGATGACAACAATCGAGCACTGTGTGGCAGAGTGGAGGCTGCTACGCGCTCCTAAAATAATGACAAATTAAATAAAAGAAAGAAAAACCAGCAACGCCAGGGCAGAGTGCCCAAAATAAAATAAAAAGCGCTCTAAGGCGCACAGGTTCGTCAATCATAATGAGGCAGAGGCAAATACAAGTTACAAGGATTTATTATATTATTTTTAGTTCTGGATGTGTATCTTCCTGTCACAACGGACTCAGGATCACAGGCAGGCACACAAAAGAAAGACGGAACAGGGGCAGAAACAGGAGAAAGCGAGAGAAACAGCGGTGGGCCGCGATGTGGCCAGTCCCCAGCCTACAAATTAAAGTAATTAGCTTGTGAACAACCACAATGCTGTCAGTGTGTGCAGCTAAAACCTTCTTCTTTACAGCAATTGCTGAGCACACACCCTTGACGGGTGACGGTTTAAAGGCCAGACCCACAGCCGGCGACGACACGCTGGGACCCCAGCAACGAGGGCGGCCAGACGCCAAAGTGAAAGGACAGCATGGCTACACAGAAGCAGGGTTCGCGGGGCACAGTGCCACACCGCGGCACTGGAGGTGGAGGAGGGCTGGCACAACGACCCACAGGAGACGGAAGTGCAGAGGTAAACAAGAGAGGCGACTCGAGGCTATTTATACTGTCCCTATGCGCCCTCCACTGGACAGAAATATGGTGGCCAAGTCCAGCTTGACACAACTGCAAGACATGAACGAGTGTTTGAAAGAAGCTCACACACGCATTGTCGAAGTTGAAGAATGGAGTACCGAAGCGAAGGATGCCACTCAAAGGAAAAGGGATTCTCAAAAACAAACTCACGGACTTGGAGGGGACAGCGCGGAGAAACAATATGCGTATTTTTGGAATACCTGAAGGGACAGAGGGTGACTCCGTGCCTCGCTTCGTGGAGAGTTTTCTCCAGAGAGAACTGGAGTTACCAGCTCCTCTCATGATTCAGCGGGCACACAGGGCAGCCGCTGGGAGGCCTGCTCAGGGTGCTGGGCCGTGCTCCATCGTTGTGAACTTTCTTAGGTTTAACATAAAAGACATGATCCTGAAGAAGGCTTTGCAGAAACGTCTGGAAATTGACGGCAAACCCCTTTTTTTTGACCAAGATTACGCGTACGAGGTAGTCCAACAACAAAAAGCGTATGGAGGCATAAAGATAGTGCTGAAAGATTTCAGACGCCATTAAGATTAAAATCCACTGGACTGATGGCCCCAAGACCTACGGGAGTCCACACGAAGCAGCAGAAGAGATGCAGGAGAGGGCACTGGAGGTAACGACCAGGGCAGCGGAGGACGGTGAGGACGCGATGGAGAGATGGAGAGTCTTCCCCTGGATGAAGGTGCGAGACACGCCGGGCAGAAGGAGCGAGTCAAAGAGCGAGGGAGAGGCTGCAGGAGCTTTGGAGACAAAGTGAAGAGAAATCATATGGGAGCTGACACTTTCTAACTATTTGGCTCTTATTTTATTTGTAGTAACGACTGCAGAAACAGTATACTATCAATCTTTATTCTCAGTGCATAATTTGCAAGGAGACTAACTACTTCATGTTTACTTAATTTTCCGGTGCTAAGAACAATTTTATTACTTGTATTTACCTTCCTTTAAAGATAATCTTGATAATTGACTGGCAGGAAGCCAAGTACAAGATTGTTGGACAAGTAGCCTGCGAGGTGGACTTAAAGATGTCCCGCATCTACATTAATAGTTCAATCAAAAGGGCAAAATTGAAAAAGGAAAATGAAGAGATAATCGTTCTACAAGAAACCCACCTATCGGATACAGAGCGTCAAAAAATACAACAGGGTGTCATTAATACTTTTTATAGCTCATTTAAAGGAGGTAGTAAACGAGGAGTAGCAATCTTAGTCTCCAACAACACTAAATTTGAGTGTCTAAAAGAAATAAGAGACAAAGAAGGTGGATATGTTCTGGTAAAGGGGAAACTGGAAAACTATATTGTCACATTGTTTGATATGCAGCCCGCGAAAATTCAATTTGGTAGACGTTAACCAAATTTACCCCCTCCAGGCCGGCTCTCATCCCCAGCCTATCGCTCCGCAGACGCCCCCTTCCAATCATCTGTACCGACTCGCAGCCGCATAAAAACCGAGCAACTCCCACTACCGGCCTCCTGAAGCCTCGCAAGCTCCTGCAGCCTCGCAAAGAATCGTTCTGGAGGAATCGCTTTTGTCTACTCACGCTTACTCCTGCGGTCCCTGCTGTCCTCTGTCTTGCTGCGTTGTGGTCTGCTCCTCCTGTGGCTGCACCTGCTGCGGGTCTCGTGCTGTGGTCCGTGGGTCTTTGCCGCTCTCCTCCTTTGCGGGCTCTTTCCGCGGGTTTGCCGCTGCTCGTCTCGTCGCGGCCTGCTGCTGCATACGGCCGGTCTGGCCCGGTGCGGTGGGAGCCGTGCGCATCCCTGCCTCCTTGTGCCGGCACGGCGTGGTCCCGTTGTGTTGTCCCTTGTCTTCTGGCGCCGTGGGTAAGTATGAGATCCGCGGACGGTTTATTTATTCCCCTCGCATTGTACTGCAGGCTCAGTTGGCCCCGTGCTGGTGGGCAGGCTTCAGTTTAAAGCCCTCGCATTGGTCTGCAGGCTCTCTTTAACCAAGCTCCGTTAAATCTTCACTCTGACTGCAAGCTCCGTTTAATCCCTCACATTGGACCGCATGCTCTCAGTTTTAATCCCTCACTTTGGCCTGCAGGCTCTGTTTAAATCCCTCTCTTTGGACTGCAAGCGCTGTTTAAATCCCTCTCGGACTGCGGCTCCCAAAACGAATCCCTTACATTGGTCTGTGAGCTCTCAGGTTAATCCCTCACGGAACTGCTTATATCTGGAAATGCTTATATCTGGATGCTTATATCTGGAAATGCTTATATCCGGAAATGCTTATAGCTGGAAATGCTTATATCTGGAAATACTTATATCTGGAATGTTGTACCGTATCTGGAACTGCTTCATATGGAACTGCTTATATATGGAACCGCTATATTGGAACTGCTCATATGGTACGGTTATACCTGGAACTGTTATGCAGTACATGGAACTGCATATATGGTACTGCCTATATCTAGAACGCTATTATTAAAAATAAATAAATAAATATAAATAAATATAAATATAAATAAATATAAATAAATATAAATAAATAAATATAAATAAATATGAATAAATAAATAAATGAATAAATGAATAAAAAAAAAAAAAAAAAAAAAAAAAAAGTTTAAACTCCTCACTGGACTGCGGGCTCAGTTAATCCCTCACTTGGACCGTAAAACTGTTAAATCACTTGGACCGTAAAAACCTGTTGAAATCCCTCACACTGAACAGCTACAACAACATTCTACTGCCGTGGCTTTGATACAGGATCTTGCTGTTATTATCTACGGACGCTGCAGCTGCTGCTGCTGCTACTGCTGCTGCTGCTTCATACGGCTACTACTGCTGCTGCTGCTGCTCCATACTGCTACTGCGCTACTACTGCTGCTTCATTTACTTGCCATCTCTCTTCACTTGCATCTCTTTTACTGAAACACTGATCAGCTACGACAACATTCTACTGCTGTGGCTTGATACAGGATTATTATTGTAATCTCTAAGGATGCTGCTACTGCTGCTGCTGCTGCTGCTGCTGCCGCGGCTTGATACAGGTTATCGCTGTTATTATCTGAGGTACTGCTGCTGCCGCTGCTGCTACCGCTACTGCTGCAACCCACTCTCTCAGAAGCTTATCCTGTTTCTATGGACGCTGCCCGGCTGAGTATGCCGCGCCGCGCTGGCCTCGTACCTATGCTCCCAGGGTCGCTTCGGCGGTCATGCTTCATCTCTCTACTTAAATCTTCTGATTCTATCAGATGCAGCCGGCCGAGTAGCTGCGCTGAGCCGTCAATCGGACTCCTAATCAAAGGCATCCATACCTGTATTCTTCACTCTTCTGATCGCAGGCTCCCCCATCGTGCTGCCCATCCTGCAGCGGCTCTGAGCGGCACTGAACTCTGGCTCGTCTTCCAAGTACATGTCTGCCCTCCTCGCAGCATCTTCCTGCTCGCCTTCTATGGCTTCTCTGCATAAGCGTCTCACCATTGCTCGCTCAACCTTCATGCGGTCCGAGACGCGGCTTCCCGACCATCCTACTATCCTGATTATCTACTCTCCAACCCAAGATTCTAAGCGTAAGGGCGCCTGCAACATCAATGGCCCTTTCCGGTATGTCTCTCTGCCCCTACAGGTCTCCGCTTCTACACGGACGTGCCCCTTCCGTGGGTTTTTGGGGGTTCTTCCAGGACCATTGGGTCGCCGGGCCATGGCCGCTACTTTCCACCGGAGCATCTCCTCTGCCCTACACGAGATATTCCCAGTGGTCGTGGCCTGCGCGCTGCGGAATCACACGTGGCAGAGAAAGAGGATCTCCGTCATGCGTGATAATCTCGACGTAGTGGAAGCATCACACAAAGGTCGCTCTTTTTCACCCAACATAATGTCCCCTGACCATTTCAACCTTCATCTCAAACATTCAAAGACCAAGGCGCCTGCAACATAATAATAGCTCGCCCCTACAGATCCATGAGGCGTACACTCACCCCCGCTGCAAAAAGGAGATTTTAACGGACCCCTAATTCTCACTCCAGACAACCTTCCCATGACAGCAACCTGGTTCAGAGCTCAGCTAAGATCCCTACTGCTCCTCTGCAATTTGTCTCCCCAGCTCTACACAGCTCACTCATTCAGGATAGGCGCTGCCACGCGCGCGGCCTCGCTGGGGCTCCCCCACACCTCTCTGCAACAGCTGGGGCGCTGGTCCTCTTCGGCTTTCTCCGCCTACATCAGGCCAGACGCGTCCGCTATCCTGGCTGCACAACGTCTACTGACTTCCTCGTAAGCTCCCAGCAAAGCAATACAAAGCAAAGTAAGTGAACCAATAAGATTCTGGTGGCGGCACGCACTTCTCAAACACTCTCCGCTGCCGCAGCGTCTGACGGAACGTGATGCGAGCGCTCACGTTCCCAGCACGCAAAGATAACTCTGCCGCAGCGGCTGGTCGATCGTGATGCGAGCGCTCACGTCCCAGCGCGCAAAAATAACTCCGCTGCATGTCCGGCTGATCACAGCATATAGCGATAGCGGTCACAGCATATAGCAATAGCGGTCACAGCATAGCAAAAAATGGTTAGCGGTCACAGCATATAGCGATAGCGGTCACAGCATAGCAAAAAATGGTTAGCGGTCACAGCATATAGCGATAGCGGTCACAGCATATAGCAAAAAATGGTTAGCGGTCACAGCATATAGCAAAAAATGGTTAGCAGCATTGCGCTGGCGGTCACAGCATATAGCGATAGCGGTCATAGCATATAGCGATAGCGGTCACAGCATATAGCGATAGCGGTCACAGCTTAGCGATAGCGGTCACAGAATAGAGCAGTCACGACCTCTGTCCCCTCCAAACCAGGCTTCAAAAACTCCATCAACACGCAGCCTTTTTGGGGATTGTGCGCGCTCATCGCAGGAGCCTTTCCGATCCGAAGGCCGCACCGGGACCTAGGGCGCCAAACCTCCTTTCATAAAATACTCAACTTCCTGTTTCTCGTCTCTCCAAATTGAAATGCAGCCCGCGAAAATTCAATTTGGTAGACGTTAACCAAATTTACCCCCTCCAGGCCGGCTCTCATCCCCAGCCTATCGCTCAGCAGACGCCCCCTTCCAATCATTTGTACCGACTCGCAGCCGCATAAAAACGGAGCAACTCCCACTACCGGCCTCCTGAAGCCTCGCAACCACCGCCTCCCCTCCTCCTCCTCTTCACCCTGCCTCCAATCTGCCTTCAATTTTCTTCCCGCTGCCAAATGCCGCCACCAGTGCCTAGGTCCCGGGGGATTGTGCGCGCTCATCGCAGGAGCCTTTCCGATCCGAAGGCCGCACCGGGACCTAGGGCGCCAAACCTCCTTTCATAAAATACTCAACTTCCTGTTTCTCGTCTCTCCAAATTGAAATAGTATATGCCCCTCCAGAATCTGAAAAACATTTTACAAGTCAGTGTTTGATCAAATTACTCTAGAGTCAAAGGGTACACTGGTTTGTGGAGGTGATTGGAATGTTCTTTTGAACCATACTCTGGACTCTAGAGTACCAAGAGGAACAGTAAATCACATCTGTCACAATACATTAATACGACAATAACAGAGTTGGGGATCATAGATGTTTGTAAATACATAAATAAATTTTTTTAATTAATGCAGTGTCAAAATATTCAATGTTTTTAAATTCAAGTATCCAAAAATTCAATGTTGATAAAAATTCAGTGTCGTTGCAATTTTTTTGCTGCTTGAATGTCATGCTTAAATCAAGAAAGAAGCAATCGATCAGCCAATCCTCCATAGACATAGCAGGGGCCAGAACATGACTTTGTAGTTGGTATGTAACGTACCCT